GGGATAATAGGACCATCAAACACCCTAAATTTGAACCACGGTGTTTCGATGGAAACCCGGCTGATTCTTTACAATTTGTAAAGGAGATAGTAGCTTGATAGCCTACTAGCTTGCTAGTTTTCTCGCCTGTCTCAAGCCCGGGTAAAGAGGGAGGGTTAGGGCGTGGTGCTAGCAACTCCACCCCTGTAAAACAACCAAATCGCTACAGAAACTTCAACGAATAAATATATTAAAAATTCTAAAAACATAAGCAATAGCCTTACTTTTCGCTGGAGTCAGGGAAGAGAAATGACGCAGGCTGGTGAATGCTAGCCTTCGGGAAGCCAGTCAGCCGATGTGCCTTCTTTCGACGAAAGCAAACGTAAGGATGGGTACCTGGAATGTTCATACAATGTACGAAACTGGAAAAGCTGCCCAGATAGCCGCTGAAATGAGAAATTACAGAATAGAAGTGTTGGGAATCTGCGAGGGCAGATGGAACGGAACTGGAAGGTGCCAACTACCTACTGGAGAGACAGTAATCTTTTCCGGCCACCGAGAGGACAACCACGAGCACACCGAGGGAGCGGCCATCATAATGTCACCAACAGCAGCCAAAGCTCTCATGCAGTGGGAACCAATCCCCTCCAGGATAATGACAGCCAGGTTCAACTCAAAAGGAAGGAAGGAAAGTCACAGTCATTCAATGCTATGCGCCTACAAACGTCTCAGAAGAAGAGAAGAAGGAGGCGTTCTACAGACAACTACAAGCAATAATGGACAACGTCCGGAATGGCGATATCAAAATCCTGATGGGCGACATGAATGCGAAGCTGGGAGGAGACAACACGGGAAGAGAACTCACCATGGGTCGTGAGACCATCGGCGAAATGAACGACAATAGTGAACTCTTCTCAGACGTCTGCGCCTTCAATGATTTGGTGATTGGTGGTAGTGTGTTCAAACACAAGGATATATACAAGACGACATGGATTTCACCAGATGGAAACACCAAGAACCAAATAGACTTCATCTCAATTTCAAGAAAGTGGAGACGGAGCCTACTGGACACAAGGTCAAGGAGAGGAGCAGATGTGGGTTCAGACCACTATCCAGTAGAAGGGAATTTCAAGGTGTAACTAAAAGCCTCGAGGATAGCTGGGGATAGGCCACAATGCAAGTTCAACACTCAGAAACTGAAGGACACAACCACAAAAGACACTTTCACTGCAACTGTCAGAGCAAAGCAGGAAACACTACGTGACATCACTGAAGAATCATGCGTGGAAGAACATTGGAAGTCTCTGAAGGCGATTCCCAACGAAACGTGTTCAACTGTTCTAGGAAGAAAGAAGAGACAAGACAAGGAATGGCTCTCAACGGACACTTGGAAATTAATAGAAGAGAGGAGAATGGTGGGAGATAAAATGATTCAATGCAAGGACGGACAGGAGAAGGAGGTGATGAGCTCAACTTACAAAGCACTGGACAAAGAGGTGAAGAAGAGTGCTAGGAAGGACAAAGGAAGATTCTACGACAATCTGGCCACTGAAGCTGAGAAGGCAGCAGGCAAAAGGGACCTGAGGACACTATATCAGATAACCAAATCTCTATCCGGGAAGAGATCGACACAAGCGAAACCTATAAAAGACAGCCAAGGGAAGCCCATTACCAAGGAAGAAAAACAGATTAAACAATGGGTGGATCACTTCAAAGGACTCTTGAACCGACCACCACCTGCAACCCGTCCAGAAATACCAACAACAGCGTGCCCACAACCGCAAGTTGACACCAATCCTCCAACGAGAGCTGAAGTCTTGAACGCAATCGAGCTTCTGAAAGCTGGAAAAACGGCCGGACCGGATAGAATACCCCCTGAAGCACTGAAGGCGGACACAGAGACTACAGCAGACATGCTGACTCCATCATTGCGCAAGGTCTGGAAGGAGGGAAAGTTGCCTCCTACTGACTGGAGGAAAGGTTACCTCGTGAAACTACCAAAGAAGGGGGACTTAGCCTCACTCTGCAAGAACTGGCGAGGAATCATGCTCCTGTCGACGCCAAGTAAATCCTGAGTCGCATCATCCTGGAGAGATTAAAGGACGCACTGGAGACAGAACTCCGACCAGAACAAGCTGGATTCAGGAAAGGCAAATCATGTACTGACCAAATTGCAACTCTACGCATCATCATCACAAAACAATGCATGGAACGGCAATCAAACCTCTACCTCAACTTTATAGACTTTGAGAAGGCCTTCGACAACGTTGACCGCGAAGTAATTTGGAAATTACTCGAGTACTATGGCGTACCCCAAATATTCATCAACCTCATTCAACAGCTGTACGACAATGGTACATGTCAAGTGATCCACAACGGAAAACTCAGCAAGGCGTTTGGTGTAAACACAGGAGTCAGACAAGGGTGTTTACTATCACCAATGATATTCCTAATTGTGGTAGACTGACTGGATTATGCATCAGACTGTGAGTGGGAAACGAGAAGACAGGAATACCCTAGACCGACGTGAAGAACCTAGAAGACCTGGATTTCGCGCGTGGATGATTTATGTTTGATGTCACTGTCACACAATCGAAGACTTACAGGTGAAAACCGACCGACAAACTGGTCGAAGAAGCAGCCGGCGAAGACAGGACTCCATGTGAACATAGACAAGACGGAGGTTATGAAAATAACCAACCAACAACAGCCACAACATCCAACGTCAATCACCATCAACGGGAGGGATTTGAAAGAGGTTACTTCATTCGCTCACTTATCTAGGGAGCATTGTCTCAACTACAGGCTGTCAGAACGGACGAGGATGTCAAATCGAGCGAGAATCGGGAAGGCGGGCGAGAAACACATTCATCAGCCTGAAATCAATCTGGAAATCTTCGTCACTCAGCCAGCATCACCAACAAAATTCGGTTGGATTTTCAATACAAACGTAAAGTCAGTGACTTCTTCTATACGGATCAGAAACTTGGCGGGCGGGTCACAAGGAATTTCTCCAACAGCCTGTTGCAGACCTTTATCAACAACAACAACTGTCTTCGCTGGCTCTATACTGAAGATCAGATGGCCGGTCCGGAAAGAATCACCAACAAGGAATTATGGGAACAAACAAAGCAAGAACCAATCGCCAACCAACAAATATGCAGGAGAAAGTGGAGACGGATCGGACACTCGCTGAGGAGACCGCTGGGTGACATCGCGCGTCAAGCCCTCGAGTGGAACCCGAAAGGCAAGCGGCGTGTGGGACGTCAGTGCAAGGGTGACATGGAGGAGATCGTGTGAGGAGGAGTTGAAACACAGTATGGACTAACATGGATGCAGGCGAAAAGCACAGCAGAAGACAGAAGCAAATGGAGACGTGCAGTTGAAGCCCTATGTTCCACTAGGAACCCAAGGGAGCAATAATAATAACTAATAACAAACAAGGTTGAGATCATGCTGAGTATTTTTCTATTAAGTGATGAATTGAAGTTAATGTATTTGATGAGGTGTTGCACTGGAGATTCTTCTAGAGATCACATTTTTGGCGGTACTTTCGAAATTGGTGACATTTTTGCACGTGTTTTCTCTGAAATTTATTTACTGCTTATTGTCTTATAATTCTTGAAATTATGGTCCAAATCTCTAAAAAACGTGTTCGTAGAAACACAATTGTTTTAGATAGTGGCTCAAATTCGGTTATAACTGCATTACCGCCGTTTAATAAAGTATCAACTACTAGCTCTCAAAATGGTTTGAGTGCAGATCTCACTCCTGTGATACAGGTGAAAGATGTTCTGTTAGAGAACTCTGAGTTCTGTAAACTAAACCTCCTTTTGAAAGATATGCAGAGGCAAGTAAGTGAAATTCAGAAAAAATTAGATCAGTTTGATAGTATGTCACTGCCAATCTCAAATACCACGGAAAGCCGTTCTGATATTGGCCAGGTTAAGTCTTTACTGGATGTAACTCAAAACAAGCTTTCGGATTTAGACCCAATAGCCTGTCTGCTAAAACAACATCCTAAAATATCTCCAGACAACCTAAATAAAGCTGAAAATCTGATTGACTGCTTGGCTACGGAGGTGATGAAGCGTATAACCTCTTCTCACCAAGCTATAGTTTACAACGTCCCAGACTCTCTGCCCCTGAAAACTGTAAGACACAAAATCCTGATTTGTTGCGGCATGGCTAGTGTTCCATGTGAATGCAAACGACTTCGTAAAAAGTCTAACCAGGCTAATTGCCCCATCATTTTTAAATTCAGTAATTCCCTTGATGCTAGTAAGTTTACTAAATGTCAGGATCACTTAAGACTGAATAGCAGTTATAAGTCTATAACCGTAGCTCAGGATAAAACACCGTGTCAGCGCAGAATAATGCGTAGTAATAACCTGGTCACCTCCTCTAGCTTTGATTTACCAAAAAGGATCGTGCACAGCAACAGACACCTAGTGCTGAAACTAGCATTCAGCAAACTACACAACAACCACGCTTGCCAATGGAACTAGGAACTGATTTAGATACCAGTACCCCTGTAAATAAAGCCTCATCGAAAGATGTTAAAATGACTAGAACTTCTGCAAGTTGTTCTAAGAAATTTCCCCCAAACGTAGTAACCTCACCACGATGAACAAATTTCGCAGGGTTGAGACTAATGATGGGGAAGAATACTTTGTATTCAATAAGCCTGCTGAGAGTAAGAATGCCAACAAACCATCACTTGTTACGAAAAACTCCTCTCGAAACATAAGTATATCTGGAGGTTTTCCGCATGCTCCACCTTATAGAAAGTCAGGCTCCAAGACTCCTAAAGTCTTGCAGCCAAAGCACCTTCCTTCACAATTCCCTTTAAGTTATAAAAACAACCCGAAGGTGTGTACCGGTATGACGAATAGCAGTTGGATGGGTAGACCTTTTGATGCTATGCCTTTTAACCGCCAACCTAGGCCCAACCTGTACTACCCTTATATCCAGGAACACATGGTAAATTTTCCAGGTGTCCCGAATCACTGGTACGACCCATGGCACCTAGGACCACCTCATTGCACTCCAATCCCGATGTACAGACACCCAGTCCGACCTCCTTTTCATTCATAAATTCTTGCGGTGCTGACGCACAAATAGATTTAGGTTATGGTGACATTTTAAGCCAGTTTGTAGTATCCCGTGACTTATTCACGATATTGCTAATTAATGCACGTTCCTTAATCAATAAGATATCTGAACTAAGGACATTATTATTAGTCGCCAAGCCTACTGTAGCTCTGATTACTGAGTCATGGTGCTCATCCTCTGTACTTGATGTGCATATAGGTATCGATGATTACACTGTACACCGTGCAAACAGAGATTGCAAGCGTGGTGGAGGATGTCTCATATATATACATAACTCATTTGTAGTCAGTAAGGTGGAAGATGAAACAATGAATAATGTACCTGACTCACTCTGGGTTGTCTTACATGGAGATAAGTACAAACTTCTCATAGGCTGTGTTTATCGAGCACCAAGCTCAACAAAAGAAACTGATGCGTTATTAGCTAAATCGTTTGCACACGCCTCCTCGTTTAGTGCTAATTACAAAATAATTGCAGGGGACTTCAATCTTCCAGAAGTCAATTGGCTAACTAGTTCCGGCCCCCAACGCTTCGACGAATTACTTGCCACTATCGACTGTTATGGATGGCAACAACACGTCCAGACACCTACTCGTGGTGACAACATGTTGGACCTTGTTTTTTGTCATGACACAATCCCAGTATCCACGTATGTTGGTAATAGATTTTCCAGTAGTGACCATAGAATGGTACTCTGCTCTCTGCCTTTCTCACCACTAAATACAGGAAACAAACAAGATTCAGGAAGCACAATATGTCGTAGTTACAAATATACAGACTGGGGATTAGTCCAAGAACTTATTCGACTCTGTCAATGGGATGACTATTTTACCACTGACTCCCTGGAGGCCTTAGTAACCCTGTTTTACAGGAATGTTACCCTTTGTCTAGATACAGTTGCTCCAAAGAAAATAGTGAAATTAAGTAGACACCGAACTGAATATATTCCAAGGGCACACCGTAATAAGTTAAGGAAGCTGAAGAAACAGTACTATTCCACTAAGGACATATCACTATTGCTCTCAATCCACGAGTCTCTTGAATCTATCAAGCGCCTACGCTCTCAAAAGGACCTCGACGAAGAGTTAACGGCACTTGAAAGTACCTCCAAAGTTTATAACTTAACGGCACTTCTTAAAAAACGAATGCAGTCGGCGAGGGAAATCCCATACTTACTTCACGACAAAGTAATCTACAATGAACCTGCCACTATCTGTGAACTTTTCAGTGATTGGTTTGCAAACTTTAGTTTAGAAACACATATGCCTGGTGAAACCGCCCCCCTTACTATCTCTTCCCTTGAAAGCATTGTGTTCACTAATCAACTAATAGTACAAGCAATTAAAAGCCTTAAACCTTCCACTAGTACGGGACCGGATGGCCTCGCTTCGATAATTTTCAAAAACAGTGGGTGTGATATACCCCTGTTACTTCTTAAATTCTTCTCAATATCTATGGACACTGGCACTTACCCTAGTGAGTGGAAAACTAGCTTCATAATTCCACATTACAAATCTGGTGATAGGGCAAACGTCCGCAATTACAGACCCATAAATATAACCCCAGTTATCTCACGAATCATGGAGAAAGTTGTAAAAGATCAATTGTCAGACTACCTAATTAGGGGAGATCTTGTTACAAGGTCTCAACACGGATTTCTCAAAAATAGATCCTGCGTTACTTGCCACTTCGACTTTTTCAACTGCATCACTAGTAGTCGCGAAGCACGTAAGCTAGTCGTTGTTCTCTACTTCGATATATCTAGGGCATTTGACATGGTATCTCACAGTATTCTCTTTGAGAAGCTGTACTCTTGTGGAATTCGCAACCCATTACTGAACTGGTTAAAATCATTTCTAAGCAACAGGGTACAAATAACCAAAGTTGGATCTGTATTGTCTCATCCTAGGCAGATCTCAAGTGGGGTCGTGCAAGGTAGTGTCCTAGGTCCACTTTTATTCACAGTCTACATTAACAGCATTTGCAAGTGCTTCACCTCAGGTAAACCATTCCTATATGCTGACGACCTCAAAGTCGTCTACTCCTGCTACACTCATGAATTAAGCGATATGGTTACTAAAATACATCTTGAACTAAGTAGCCTTGCAACGTGGTGTGCTGAATCCTGTCTAAACTTTAACATTGACAAATGCGGCTGGATTTGTATCGGCAACAGTAAGCTTGATCTAACTCTTGAAATAAATGGGCGAAAACTAGCTAAGCTCAACTCAGTCGTAGATCTCGGTATTAGATACTCTAGTAACCTAACGTTCGCTGAACAAACTGATTATGCCAGACGTAAAGCACGAAGGCTGATAGGATGCATAACACGCAATTTCTTTTATTTTGAAACTAGGGTTTTATTATACAAAGTATGTGTCCGACCTATCTTAGAATACTGCACGTTTATTCTTAGCGGACTCAGACAAAATGACAAGCTTAAATTAGAGGGAGTGCAACGGCAGTTTACCTCAAGAACTCTTGGTTTAGAAAGTGGTCTGGAATACCATGAGCGATGCGACAGACTAAGATTAGAACCCCTCTGAAAAAGACGTCTTAAGCCAAACCTTATCGTTCGGCAGCAACATTATTTCTAGATGTTAGGAAAGCTTTTGATAAAGTCCCACATAAAAGACTCATACTGAAACTCCTATCTTATGGAATAAGTGGAAGGCTTCTTGAGTGGATAACTTCCTTTCTTACAGGAAGAGAACAGTTAGTTAAAGTCGACAACCACTTATCAACATCCAAACCGATAACCAGCGGCGTGATACAAGGTAGTGTTCTTGGCCCTACCCTATTCATTGTATTCATAAATGATATTGTCTCTATGATCAAGTATGGCAAGCCATACCTCTTTGCAGATGACCTCAAAGTTGTCTATGATTTTGACTATAATGATATGAATATTGTTAGTAAAATCCAAGAAGACCTAAATAGTCTATGTAATTGGAGTGAAAAGTGGCAGTTAACGTTCAATCCAGCTAAATCTGGGATAACATACTTCGGACGTTGGAAACCTAGCATGTGTCTATACATGTACGGTGACCTTGTCTCAAACACAAACACAGTCACAGATCTCGGGTTAACATACTCAGATCTTACCTTTACTGAAAATGCAAATAAGGTGGTATCTGATTGTAAACGTCTAACCGGCTTTGTGCTACGCAACTTTTACACTCCAGAAGCCAGATTAGCCATATATAAGATATGCATTCGCCCCAAACTTGAATACTGTGCCCACTTATACAGTAGCTTTAAATCAGCAGACAGAAAAAAGTTGAAAGTGTCCAAAGATTCCTTACGAAACGCATATTAGGCTATGGTCAGCAAATAGAATACCTTGACAGATGTATTCGACTGGACTTAGAGCCCTTATGGTTAAGGAGAGTGAAGTGCAATTTATTTCTCTTATTCAAAGTTATAAGAAAGCACTGTAACAGTAACTCGTCCATAACCTGGGCTAATCCTAAATCGTATGGACTACGCAACCACAACTACCTTCTCAAGGTTAACACCCATAAACTCACCACTAGAGCTAACTTCTTCACCATTAAATATTGCAAACTTTGGAACCAACTACCCTCTGAGATAAGATCCTGTGAAAGGCCTGACAGTTTCAAAAGGAGCCTAGAAAAACGTATTAACATGTCCACCCTAGCCCGCCTCAAAGATCTCAACTGCTGGTAGAGTGGAGAGACAATGGCATTTCAATATTTAACTACAGAAAGTACACTAGTTCCCAGACTAACATAATAATACTTAGTAATTATGTAGGTTCAATACTTGAAATTAGATTGTCATTAAAATACCTAAAATGATTAAAATACTTATGCGGCAAATGTTCTGTTGGTTGACCGCTCTTATTTCCCTTATAACACTCAGTTATTGAGCCTAATGTATTCTTTGATAATACGGATTATGACACTGACTATGCTCTTATTATACATAGATTGATTTACTTCACGACTACCTGTAGTACTAACTACCCTTCTGTAGTATTGTTAACCGAATGCTGAAATTTTGTTGGTTCTGTTAATATCTTTTTATAATATATGTAGACAGGTTACTTTGCAATGTCAAATGTTGACTATATATAAGACTGTCATGATAATTTAGTACACTAAGTCCTGCCAACCGACCTCGCCTTCAGTTCATACTACCTACATTGATCCCTAACTATATTGTTCTGCTGAATCTTGCTTCACTATTCACAAAACCTATTCTTTTTATTCTTTAAGGTTTTAACTTCTTGTAAAGTAATCTGTTCATTAGGAAGCATGCATACATATATAATGTTCATAAAGATGTACGCGGAGACCTATTGGAAGCACTCATTAAGAAAGCTAAGGAGATGGAATATGAGGTACGAACATGTCTGGTACCAAGCAATATATTTGCGGTTGCCATAATAATCATATTCTCAGAGCTTAACATCAAAAAAGGAGGGAGGGTGGCGTTAGCTGATCAGTAGATATGGTGGGGGTCACTAAGGTGAATCGCCCCATTCTGCAGGAACAGCAATATACAAATTAAAGGCTCGAGATATTTCTGATTTTTATGAGGGCTTAGATCTTTATCTTGAAAAAGGTAATAATGAACGCCTTGACAGATCATGCTTCTACCTTTAAATATATACCATTCGCTCAGCCTATTGTTGAGACGCGACCACGCGGGATCTGCACAGATTTATGGGGCATCTTATAAACTAACCTGCTGTCCATTGTCGGATCTTTAAATACCACTTCACAATGTCTTATCTCATTCATTTTCCAATAACGTCTTTACTTGATCCTCTATATATCCCATTAAACCTAACATTTTACAGCTCTTTATGACTTATTATATTCCTACTCTCTGAAGGGTACGGTTGTGCACTAAATGCACAAAAAGGTATAAAACAAAAACAACTGGCACACCTGAGGATAAATGTATTAAAACCAAAAGTGGACATCATGATAGTACGAGATATACGTGTAGCATTATACATTGCAAATGAACGTTGCCAGCCTAGGGAGTTTCCTTTATTAATGCATTTATTAATGATACTTGCACTTACCTATTTCATTACAATTTAATGATTCACCTCAGCACTTTTACTTTTCTAAAACAGCTTTCAATCCCTTGTAAACGTTGTACTTACCTCAATATTGGTTGGTTATCGAATGCCGACAACCACGGGATGAAAACGAAACGAAGTCGATTTTCCCGCGAAACCTGGAGGACAATTGTACAATTCAATAACTATACAGCCTAGTTCAGACAATGAGTGTAATTATATATAAATATCAAATATTTAACTGTTGAAACATTATTAACTTGTAGACAATCTATGATTTGATATTATATCATACTTGATCGTGCCTGTAAAAATGGCATTCATTTTCATGTAAATTTATATGTTTATATGAGAATATACATTATTATTTTCTTTTACTATAAGCTAACTAATCTTCTCTTGCATTCCTCCGAGACAATAACTAAACCTTCCACTGTCATCAGTTACAATCTTAGAAATCATCACAACCTAGCTGCTATAGAGCACTGTCAGACTTACGTGCGGTACAACTTCTTCTTAAATAAGCTTTCAGTCATTTGGAGTAGACTACCAGCTAATGTGCGCGATGCAAACACACTTCCAGTGTTCATCTCTTCAGTCACCAGACTGCTCAAGGATGACAATGCACTTTTGTGCCTGACTCTTACACCCTCTTTTTCACCCTACATAGATATTTTAAGTTCTTTAAACGTGTAGTTACAACAAACTACAATTATACATTTTAATATTATTGGAACTAGATGATAAACATTTCTACACAGGACAGTAATATTAGTTCACACATAATTTGAAAGTTAGCATAACGGGACTAGTTTGTTAATGAACAAAAATAACTATAATTACTGAACAGAATGTATGTGTATATATTTATTAATCACTCCTTAAGGACTCCTCTTGCTTTCTTTTGCTTTGCTGTTGTTTGTCTTCTTTTTTCTCTCACCATTTTAGCTTCCATTGGACTTTTTGAATGAGAATGAATAATGTGGATGTTTGACCATTTACAATGACAAATGATCTGCAAACACTACTGGTCCCGTATCTTTCAGTTGCCTAGTTAATAACGAATTAACTTTCCCCACGACGCAACCCGGATTACATTTGTGGAATATACTGTTATACCAATGGAAAGGTATCAATTTGTAATACAACGTCACGATTCTTTCTTATTGCCCAATTTGGATATAAATCAAAAATGAGATTCGAAATTACTTCAAGCTTTATTTTTTCCCAAGTATTTTTAATCAATCCAAAACTTACTTGGGATTTTTGATAATTCGAAGTCAATATTCCTATATTTCATGATGTGCTCCATTAAATGACTGGTTATATTAGGGAATAACTTCAAGCTTTATTTATTCCCAAGTATTTTTAATCCGTCCAAAACTTACTTATGGTTTTTGTTAATGCGAAGTCAATATTCATATGATTCATGATATGCACCTGTTAGCCACGCCACGTAAACCGTGAATACCCAGCTCCTGCTGCACTCAGGCTCACGCTGTTCCTTGAAGTTTCTCAGAAACGCTTAGTAATAACGGGCGAAAAACCCAAAACACCAATTGTTGACTCGAGGATTCTTTATTGTTACACCAACATATAAACGCTGTTACAACTAAGGTCTGTGAACAAATATTACAATAATAAATCACAATATTACTTCTCATGGTTTTCTGCTGACTTCTTTCTGAACAGAGACCGATGAGACGATGACTGTCGTATTGATGCCTCCGCGAAAATTGGGGAAGTTGGTTTTGAGCAAACAACCATGAATTGATCGTTCAATCTTCAACTACATTGACATTCCCCGACAAAATACGGATCCATCCCTTTTTTCCTTCACGACCAATACACGTCGACTTGGATGCCATTGCGAGAACCTGGGTCACATGGACAGAGCTGAAATGGAAAACAAACAGAAAAGCCAACACACCACAAGCATACTCACAGCACAATCTCACACATCGCTGACGGCCTGCGATTTCCAGTTAAAGAGATCTTCTTGAAACATCCTCTTACAACACAATCGCCACCTGCTAGAATGACTCTTGCAGAATGCAACGTGAACATAGCACCAACTCATGATACTCTACGCATATCCTCTTATCCACTCACTACCAATTACCACTGAAATCGCTTGTCACTCATTCTGCCTCAGTTCTAGT